GTTAGAATATCACTTGTGAGTTGTCCCACATTGTTCATACATGGAAAATAGACCCACCTTATAAGTCTAATGGGCTACTCCTCCTTCCACCAATTGGTTTTGGGATGGAACTTCACTTGGGCTTTATATGGGCTTTTCCCCGTTTTGGTGCGCTTCATGTTAGTGGGACCACACCTATTTTTCCCCCCAGTTTCTTACAGAGACGATTCACAGCCAATACTGAACGAGGCCTTGAGAACTGGCATCAACGTCGAAAAGAGATAGGCCGTGTAAATCATGAAATACCGAGGTAGGTTGTGATTTGCTTTTCTGATCGATGATATTGTTGTGTTTATGCAGAATGTTTGTAGGATATAGGTAGAAATAGGTTGCTGATTCTAAATTTCTAAGAATTGGACTAGTTTTTTTGCGTGAAGAAGATAGACATATGAGAGGAAATGATGTTGAGATAGTAGGGGAAAAATGCATAAGTGTGCAATTTGTTAAAAAATGAAGTATTTATGATATTTTATTGTTTCCATGTAGTTGTTTTTATGTTGCTTGAAAGAATTTATGTTGTTGTTTTGTTGTTTCTATAACATATGTTTGTGTTGTTTTTTTGTTTAATTTAATTGTTATATATATGTATATAAGCAATTGTTATTTATTTTTATTTTTTTGGTTGTTTTAGGCATTCACGAAGAAAGAGAACATGAAAAGAGAGAGAGAGAGAGTAAATAAAAAAGAGTGATTGTTTTTTATTAACTTCTGTTATTATTTCAACAAAAATTCTATGGAGCCATCGGATGGTTTTTTCATGGAGCCATCCACCATTTAATGTGTTGACCCTTGTCCAAATTGTATTTTATTGTAAGACAAGTGTTAATACACTATTGGTGAATATATGTGGATGGCTCCATAAGTCGAGCCATCCGATAGTTCCGTAGCAAAACTGATTATTTCAAATACATAGCAGTTACAAAGTGATGTATTTGTGGAATTGTAATCAAGTGGTTTCCTTCATGGAATGATTTTAATATTAATGGACATCTAGCTAGAGATGGCGAAAACACGGACCGGGCCCAGCCCTGCGCAATGGGTCTATGGGCTCAGAATCATGGACATAGAACCGGCACGGACTTAGTTGTGCCGAGTCCATGGCTCGGTGGGCCGGGCCCGACCTAGATCTAGGCCCATCCAAATTAAAAAAAGAAAAATTTAAAAAACAATCAAAAGCGTGTGGTTTTCCCGGGCCGGGCCAGACCAGGGTATAAAATCAAGGGCCTAGACCGACCCGGTTAAAACCCTATCCAAACCCGGATTCGTGGTCAACAAGCTTCTCTGGGCGGGGTCCGTGCCGGGCTGAGTGGCCCGTGGCCACCTTTATTCAGTAGCTATTTAACATAATCGACATCATCTTCTTATCAAAAGTCCAAAACTCATCATAATCTCGCTAGGCATTTTGACATAAAACACTTAAAACAATTTAATGATTATTAAATTTCAGATCTAAATGAAAAATCTGAGTCAGGAAAGTGCAGTATTTGCAGAGCTGCAAATGTACGGAAAGAAGCCCAAATTCAAATTTCGAAGCCCAAAGTTATGGACAGCCCTGACGATGCTGCATTTCCCAACCATTTAGTAAATATAGTAAATAAAGCCGTTATGTTTTGGACGAGAGTAATGCTATAAGTACATAATATTGTGCATAGGAATATACACAACATTCACATTGAGTGTGACCCACCAAATAAAAAATGTAAGTGGACCCCACCTCATGTGAGTGTTATGTACACCTCTATGTACATTTATTATGTACATGTAACATTTTTCTTCAGTTAAAGACTTAATTTTACATTCTAGTTCTCAATTTAAGACTCCAATTAACACTATTTTTTTACATAAATAGGCAAACCAAAATATTAATATTTTAAATTTATTTTTTAAATAATTATAAATATCTTTAGTAAAATTACTTTAGTAAGAAAATTAATTCATTTATACTACATTAGTTTTGCATAAATGTAACTTGTAATTTGATTTATTTTTCTTACAAATTTACTTAATTCTTTTTATTATAAGTATTAATTTATATATTCTTAACTTTTTCAAAAATATAAATTTTATTCCACAAAAAATATATTATATAATTTTATTTAGAAAAATATAGTTATTTTCAAAATAATTTATTTTTTAATGTTACCACATATTTGGATTAAAATTAAGTTATTTTTTTTAACTTTTAAATAAATTTCGTTAAGCTTTTTCACAAATATAAATTATGAAATATTACCTTGTTCAATAATTTTACTAAAAATATTTAATATTTTTCGTTACAAGTAATTTAAAATATGTTTTTTTTTAAAAAGTATTGTGGTTTACATTATAATGTCAAAATACAAAGTAATTTGGAGTCTTAAACTGAAAAGTAAATGTAAAAAATATGTGTTATATTGAGAACACTCTTAAAATTGAAACCCTCAATTGCAACAGTTAAAAATTTAGATCGTATTATGACACAATCCTAAAAAATCAAGCCCTGTAATGGAATTTCCTCAATTATATATACCGAAATGATAATATCAAAATATAAACATTAAATAAATTTAAAAAAATAAAATTCCAAAAAGAAAATTTAATTATCAAATGGATAATATTTTCATACAATCGTCAATAAAAAAATTTAGTAAAAAAAAACCTAATGAATTAAAACTTTCATTGAAGCAAATATGATTTTTCGGTTGTTGAAAATTGACAATGTGAGAAAAATAAATATAAAAAGTTGTAGTTATTTATAATTTATATAAATATTTTGTCTAAGATTTGAAGCATTCACAACATTTTACGAACTTATGGAAAAAAATATCCCACATATAAAATACTCAAATATATATTATAAAAACAACTAATAATAATAATAATAATAATAATAATAATAATAATAATAATAATAATAATAATAATAAAATACATTATTTTTTAAAATACACCCCGTGCATCACACCGATATCAATACTAGTTATGTGAGTAGATGAATAGTTAATTAAAACTGATGATATATAAGATTATAGATTGAGTGATATATTATTTAATTATATTAATAAAAATGAGAATAGTGAGGATGAGTTAAATTTTAGTCAGGTTTTGAGTATGAA